TGAACTGATGTACAGACTAAAGCTCAAAAGAAATGCCCAAGCCTTTCCTCTTGAGGTGAGAAAGCAGAGTGCCACTGAGACAGCAGCGAGCAAAAAAGGAATGTGAAAACATGAAGAAAGAGGCCCAAGGTCTTCAGAGCTGGTAAGCATCCAGCCAAGGAACAACAATGAGTCACTGCACCGAGAGCAGAAGAGGAAGGGGGAGAGTCAGAACTGGGGAAAGAGAATTCAACATGGAACTAATTGCCTCCATGAATAACTACCTCCTTTGCTATGAGACAAGAACTGGATGTTGCCAATTGCCATTATTACACATTTTTGTCAAAGAATCTGTAAACAAATTGTACTTTTTCAAAGTGGGGAAAATGCAGACTATCATGTCAAATTCTCATGCGTTCAGACTTTCTGAAGTCACAGAGGCTGGATTTCCCCCAAATAACTTTTAAGCCATAAATAAAAAATATACCTGAAAGCTTCTTAAAACCAACCAATAGTTTAGACTGATGAGTAGATTATGCTTATGCTGATTGGAGCAGATTTACATCAGCAGCTCAGAAACTTAGACAGGAGTCCTAGGTGGTAGTGAGTGTATATTAATGGAGGACCCAGGACTTGGAAAAACAGGGTGGGAATGATTGGAGCAACTGAAAGAATGTGATCAACATCACTGTGTTATACATGTAGATACTGTTGACTTGGTGTAGATTTTGCTTTGTATTTGCTCAATCACAACAATAATAATGTACAAAGAACAATAACAATAAAATATATGTCAAAAGTCCTACCAAAAAATTAATCTTTTGTTTCTCTAAATCAGTAGTGGGGAGCTATTTTCTGTAAAGGGCAATTTGGGTATTTATAAACACCCTTTGAAGGTCACACAGTTATCACCTCCAATTTCATTTGCTATATTTGGTTAAATATTAAATTAACCCACCCTGAATGGTGAAGTGTTGCTACCTGCAAGGTCAGCAGTTCGAACCCACCAGCCTCTCCACTGGAGAAAGATGAAGTTTTCTTCCCCAGTAAAGAGTGACAGTCTCAGAAACCCACAGAAGTTTGACTCTGTCCTATAGGGTTGCTATGAGTAGAAATCAACACAATGGTAATGAATTTTGTTTTGGGGTGGTTTCTTTTTTATAATGTGATGGCTGGCATTGCTTCTCTCAGAGTGAGGCGTATAATATTAGCTGGTACTGATTAATACAGGGGCTTCAAAGGTTCACAGGCCAAATAGTCCCTAGCACTACTGTAAATAAATAACTAAAATAGCTAAAAAGTCCTGGGGAGCTAGGAACATTGACCAGGTAGTGAGCTGTACCACACAGACACATTCTGCTCTGACTCAGGCCCATTAGGGCAATGCTTTAAATCCATTTAGTCACCTCCTGGTCAACCTACCGTAACATTTCTCTAAGGAACCGTCTCTTCCACATCATCAGTCCACTTCCTTTGGGTCCTAGAATTTCAAGTTGCCTGGCCACATGAGGTTTCCTTTCCCCTCAATTCTATGACTCAGGAATAGTCAAGCATATGCACATTTCATCTATTCACTATAACTGATGAACAAGTTTACTAAAATTACTCTAATTCTAGAGATGAGGAAAGTGTCACATAGATAGAAAAGATGGTGTTCTATTTAAAAATTAAATCTAATACACAAACTAGTGTCCCATTTCAGGAAATGACGCTAAATGTGGATCTGCATTAGCTTTCCATGGTGAAGCTAAAGAAGTATATTATGAAATCAAAGGATAGTAGTAACATTGTACATATGACAAAGACAAATATTCTCAAGACTCAAAAACAAAAATAACACATTCAAAATCAATTCAATTTGTTGAGGTTTTTGTGACAGGATCACGTGATGCAGTTAGACTTTGTTACTAATCTGCTAGATTATGTGGAGATAGGGTTGAGCTTCCTGTACTCACCTAAAGTTATATACTAATCAATAAAATATGCTTCTACTGAATCTGTTTACGAACTAGGTATAAACTTGCTAATCTTTTCCCCACACAAAGTGGTTAACGTCCTTTGAAAATGGTCAAATCCAGGATGGTTTCTATTTTTGTCCCCTCCCTGTTGGATCTTTATTGATCAGTCATGTTTTAACACAGACCATTTACTCAGTACACCCTTTGGGAACGTAGACTTCAAAGGAGAAGCATTTCTTGACTGTTAGGCCACTTAGAAATAGATGCAAGTGCTCAAATACAGCCGAGTGGTTGCAGATAATTCTTCAGAAAGCCAAATATTAAATAAATATATGCCATTGGCTCAATGGGGAGAAAGTTGGGGCTTTTTATTCCCGTAAACAGTTACGGTCTCAGAAACTCCCGGGGACAGTTCTACCCTGTCCTGTGGGGTCTCTATGACTCATAGACTTAATGGCATTGAGTAGGATTGGCCCCCTTATGAGAAAAAATATTTTTAGCTCTTAGGTAATTAAACAAAACCAAAAACTAAACAGAACAAACCCACCGCCACCCAATTGTCCCCAACACATAGCAGTCTTATAAGACAGACCAGAACTGCCCCCACAGAGTTTATGAGGCTGTCAATCTTTCCAGATGCAAACTGCCTCTTCTTCCTCCTGCAGAGTGCTGGTGGCTACAAACCACTCAGTGTTCAGTTCACAGCCCAGTGCTTAATCCACGGCACCACCAGGGCCCCTTCAGATCATTAAAGAACAGTATCATCGAGTTTTATCATCAACAAGGAGCATTTTTGTCCATCTTTTGCCTTCGTGTCCTTCTCATTTTTCCAAGGAGCCCTGATGGCACAATCGTTTCACCGCTTGGTGGTTGAAATATGCCACCCACTCCATCGGCGAGAGGTAACCATCTACTTCCATACAGAGTTATCGTCTTAGAAGCCCGATGGAGCAGTTCTTGGTGCTCCCTGCAGCCACGTGAATCACAGTGGACTCGGGAGCAGTGCGCATCTCTCCCATCACCAGACACAAGGATTTAAGAGCCGAAGCGTATGTCTTTCTTTGAACTAGCTATTATTTTAAAGTAGACTTCACAAGTCCTCAATGATGACACATAATTGAGTGAGATCGCGGATCTAAAACATCTATCGTCCTACACAGTATACTTAATTAACAACACTACGCCCAGTAGACCCTTGTTCAGTAAAAATTTGGATCATTCAGTATTTTCTCTAAATGCATACCAAGCATTCTTAGAACGTAAATTTTGTGATTTTGTTATATTTTCCTCTCCTTGATTTTAATACAAAATGGATTGTTTTCTGGTTTTATAGCTAGTACTTTGTTAAATAACTTCTTTAGGGGAATCAATATTTCACTTTTTTTAATTTCAAAGTGAGTGATTCTATCATCACACTATTTGGAAGGTGCTTCTCTGGGTGTCCCGGTGGGGTAGTAGTTACACGTTGGGCTACTACCTACAAGGTCAGCACTTTGAAACCACCACCTGCTCTCTGGAGAAAGATGGCCCTGTACTTCTGTAAGAGTTACAGTCGTGGAAACTCACAGGGCAGTTCTACCTTGTCCTATGCTGTGAGTAGACGTCGACTCCATGACAGTGAGTTAGCCTTTTCTGGTTTTTCTCTGGGTGTGCGTGTCTTCCTGGGAAGCTAGTTAGGGTGTAATGAAGAAGGAACCTGCTGTCCTGCACCTCAGAATAAAAACTATCAACCTATTGCTGCTGGACATAAGCTAATGCTTCCAGGAAATAACTTTCATGTTTATAAAATGCAGAGATATATTATTCCTGAGGCAGAAAGAAATCTTCAGTTTGTCCCATCCATCTTCATTGCAATCACAGGTAGCTGTTTAAGGAAACCAAGTTACAAACATGTTATGCATAATAGGGATATTCATTTGGCCATTAAAACCACACCAAAAGTGATTTATAGTCAGGAGACTTCCAGTTTTGAAAAAAAGATCTTAAATGTTTTTGAGACTTTTCAAATATAGAAACACTTTTTTCAGGGATTTTTAGCCCAAGAGATTTGAGTCTCTCCTCTCCAGCTCCACCTTCAAAGACAATTAAAGAATAAAGTGTATTAGAGGAATGTGGCCCCTTAAACCCTTCTAGTAAAGTGGTTTTCTTGCACTTTATAATTCAAAGGCAAATCTTTGAATTGCAAATACAAACAGAACAGAGTTCTTGTTTAAGAGAACACAGAACGTTAGAAAGGGGAGCAGGTGAATGAAAAGAATTCTCCTTTTATTTCTCAGCTGGCAAGAGTTGAAGGAGTAAAACCAGAATGTTCTCATGATAGAGAAAGGAGACAGAGAAGCCACGTCACTCAAGGGCAGTTGCCATCTGGCTAGAACTGAGAACAAATGTGAGCGTGGCTTCCTCGTGTACTTCTGCAGGTAGCTAGCACCAAGAACTGCAGTCACGACAACTGAGCTCTGTGGGCTCCAATCCATTCTTCTAGGTTTGTTTGTTTACGATGTACTTATTATTGTCCTGGAACAGAATTTTCAAAGGGGAAAAAAGATCAGTTTATGCACAAACAGCAAAAGTTTCCATCACGTACTTTTAGATTGGAATTAGCACTCAAGTAGTGTACATTTTATACAACTAATCTTTACCAATTTTGAGTCAGTTTGGACGCTGACACTACACAGCTCTCTTAGAACAAAAGTAGACTATGTAAATATTATCAATAATTATAATTAATTGAATTTGTTAAACCATTCATCTTTCCATCCATCATGATTTGAAATAGAAATTTAGAGGATCAGAAATGGAGATATTTTGAATAGAGATTATGAGAATAGAGATTATGTTTTATTTTATGTTTAGATGAATTTTTCCCCAAAGTAGATTATTCATTCCAGAGCATATGCTCCGATTTTAATAATACTCATAAATGTGGATTAAATTTTTTCAGTATTTCTTTTCTAAATGGTAGAATTACTATTAAGTTTCGATTTTCATGTCTCAACCACAGCAAATTTTTAAAATAGCTATTTCTAATTTTGCTTTTAATATTCTTTGTCTTCCTTTCCTTTCCAGCTTGGCCCCAGCACCATGGCTCCCACAAAAAAGGGTGGCGAGAAGATGAAGGAGCGTCCGGCTATCAACAAGGTGGTGACCAGAGAGGACACCGTCAACATTCACAAGCGCACCCACGGTGTGGGCTTCAAGAAGGGAGCCCCTAGAACACTCAAGGAGATGCGGAAGTTTGCCAGGAAGGTGTTGGGGACACCAGATGAACGAATCGACACCAGTCTCAACAAAGCTGCCTGGGCCAAAGGAATCCGGAACGTCCCATACCGTATCCGTGTGCGGCTGTCCCGGAAACGTAATGAAGATGGAGATTCCACTCCCCAAACAAGCTCTACACGTTGCTACGTGCCTGCCACCACTTTCAAAAACCTACCGACTGTCAACGTGGATGAAAATTAGTGGCTAATTATCTAATAAAGGTTTTAAAACTGCAAAAAATATTCTTTATTTTATCCATGCATAATTGTGGCCATAAAACACATAAATCTATAAAAGCCTTAAGTGAGATATGACTGTTTGTGGCATGAGTGATTCAAACCTAAGAGCCACATGATTCTTGAAGGAAATACTGGCCTAATTTCCCTGGGAAAACTCCCAAACAAAATAAGTAACACATTCTTCTGTGATTTATTTCTAAAGCCTTAGGTTGGACAGATAGTGCTTTGACGTTATTACCATTTCTAAAAGAATGTTATTGAAGCATTTCCCCTAAAACTAGTGTGGCTCAAGGAAGATGAAAATATATCTGATATTGTAATAGCAATACAATCAATGCAAAATAGTGACAACAGTATTAGTAGCAGTAACATTGATTGAGTCTATACATGTGCCAGGTACATGTTCTAAGTATGTCATGTGAAAAGATCCTATGATCTGGGTTCCATTATTATAAGGATTTTAAAATGAAGATGCTGAGACATAAGAAAATTAAAGAACTTTGTCCTGGTGATATTGCTAAGAAGTCTCAGAGCCCCAAATTCAAAATCCATACCCTTAAGCACTAATAATGCTGTCTTTATTCATGGAAGGATAATAAATTTGCTTAATGAACAATATGAGGACGAGTATGCTTCACAGTCTTAAATAATGGTAAAATAACCATACTTGAAGTTACTACCATGCACCCAATTTTTTGGTAAATTTTCAATATAATTATGAGCCTAATTTAGAAAAGGAAAAGAAGATAAAAAAGAAGTCCATTTTCAGCACTGAATACCACTTTCCAATTTTCTTAAAAAGAGCAAGGAGAGCAGAATGTTGCCTCCCTGTGAAGTTTGTACGCTTGGGGTTTGAAAACCTTCCTGGCTATCAGGGTTGGGAGGGATGCAAACAAAGACAAACAAAGCCAGTCTAGTGGGCAAGGTGTGCTTCCTTATTCCAATCTGCACACAGAAGCAGATTTCCAACCAAGCAATGAGACCCTTTGGAAAATCCTCCAAAAAGCCTTGAACTTCTGCCAGTAAAGACTCCCCTAACAGACTGGAATTAACATGAGCATCTGGCTCTGTTCTGTGAGACCTGTCACCTTTACTCTGCCTGTTCACAGACTTTCTGGGAAGGAAAGTAACGCTTCCATCTGCTCACAGCAGCAAAGAAAACAGAAAGCACTGATGCCCTTCCACTGAGAAGCTGAGACTGAAGCCTACAGGATTTAGTGAGCTGAAGAGGGTGTGTGTGTGTGTGTGTTTGATTCTTCTCATAATGAATTGTTCCTACTGGAACACCTTGACACAGAATACTAGAGTATTTTAAAACCACAAATATATTTATATATATATTTAAATACTACTCTGGTTTATTTCCATTACTTAGCTCCTTGGCTAGGAATAGAGAATTCCTTTCTTGAAACCACATATAAAAATATCATCTAATAAAGTTTAAGGAAGGAAAAGATGGCAATGATGCTAAAGGGAATAAAAGTGTCATCTTAACACACTCTTGAAATGTATTTAAGTTCATTTAAAAAAGCTGTGCATGTGTTATGTACATACAAGGGAGTAACACCCTCCCTACCCCACCCCAAAATGTTAAAAAGCTCTGCTGGGTGGGCATTTTTCCCAATAGGCAGGCATCAAGCAATGCTCTCTGAGTTAGTGCACCCAGTGGTGTTGCCTGGGAAGATTCCCTCTGGTCACAGTGAATTTTTTCTTAAAAGCAGTTTTGCTCAAACATCATTTTTTTGGTGTGGGCTGATTTAAGAGAACAGTGTGAGACTGTGAAATTTAGTTTCCTGCTAGGGAAAAATGCTTCAGAAACTGTTGTGGTATTAAACTCAGTTTACAAGGACAGCACAATAGGAAAAACTCAAAGGTGAAAGGTTGATTGAAGACAAACCCAGTCTGGATGTCCGTCAACTCCCTTAATGGACAAAAATGTCAATTCAGTACATTTGGAGTTCATTTCACTAGGTCAGACTGTGAATCAAGCTTTCTATTTAGAGGTTCTACAAAGATATAGTAACAAAAAAAGGCCTGATTTGTGGTAGATGGGGGCCTGGTTTTGCTACCACCACAATGCACCTGCTCATGCAGCCATCTCGGTGCACCAGGTTTTGGCAAAAAGCAGCATGCCTCTCTTGTCCCATGCACCTGAATCACCTGTCCTTGCTCTGTGTGACTTCTTTTGTTTCCACAAATGAAGAGGGACATGCTAGGGCAGCGATTTGATGAAGTTGAAGAAAAAAAACAAAAAAGGTGCTGTCAGCCATCCAAACAGATGAGTTTGCAAAATGTTTTGAAGAATGGAATCACAGTTTTAACAAATGTATTAAGTATAATGGAGAGTACTTTGAAGGTAATAAGGTTCTTTTGTAAAAAAATAAAAATACTGTTATAAGGGGGATACACTTCTTTACACATAGAAAACCTTGAGTGAAGTAAAATGTAGGCAATTGACAATGGCTTTTATTTGTCTAATCATAAGCTTGAATACATATTTTGAAGAATAAGGTCAAAATATTTAGTTAAAAAATAAACTTTATACTACCCTAATCTTGAACCTGTTCAGATCAGAGCATTCCAGGAACATGGGTATGAATGAGTGTGGGTACAGAGACTTACTCAAAACTATCTGTAGCTAATGCATGGCCAATGATGTAGCAGTTAGCACATTCAGATCAAGTCTCATATGCATGATACAGATGACTTCAGGCTATGATTGGTATTACTAAATGGTTTTGAGGCTATTTGTACAAATGTGCTTGATACAATTGATGCATGGATGGTTATAAGAGCTGTATGAGCCCCAATAAAATGATTTATTAAAATTTAAAAGAAGAAAAGGAAATAAAATGTATTGAAAATGATGATGGCAGCCATTGTAGAACTATGCTTGATCTAATGGAACTGTGGATTGTAATAAAATGTGTAAGAGCTCCCAATAAAATGTTTAAAAAAATAAGAAAGAATCAGCCAGATGGAGTTTCAGGTTCTCCTGTGTTTCATAAGAAGGAGTCCTAGGGAAGCACAGCAGCTAGAGCTCAGCAGCCGTTGGAGGGGAGAGCGGTGTGGCAGTCAGTCTGTTCTTAGAAATATTCCAGGCTTGGAACCCCATGGGCTAGTTGCCCTGTGGACTGTACATAGGGTCCTGGTGGCATTCACTTGAGCTCAAGGAGGTTTGGCTTCTAGGTTTCCTACAAAGGGATGGTGGATACTTGACCAGTGGCTAACTCAGTGATGTTGCCAATGAGCAGCAAGGGGCTAGTCTAGATATTCCAGTACCATTTTTCTTCCACAATATGCACCAGGAAAATTAAGCAGCTATATTACATATAATTACATCACAATCAACACATTGTTCAAATAAAATTTGGGGTTCTGTTTGAGCTTTTCCCATAATATTTAAATTATTTTGCTCATATAAAAAATAATTGAGTATCACAATTTGATATCCAGTTTTTAATTTATCATGTAAGCCCTTAGGAAACTTTATTTTCATATGTTTAATCAATTTTTAGATAAGAGTTGAATACTTTTTAGGGAGATAGAAAGGATCATAGAAGTTGAAAATTCGGACAACAGTTACATATTAACGTCTACTTGCATCATTCTGCATTTCAGAGAATATTTAAAGCATTGCAATCTTTCATAGAAACAACTCAAATAATGTTACAACTCAAATAATGTTAATGTTAACTCCTCCATGTATGCGAAAGTGACAGCTGTATCCCCAGGAAGATCTGATTTTAAATGTTGTAGAGGTGACATACAAAAGTTACACACACACACACACGCATTTAGGCTACTTAAAGCCCATAGAAAATAAGTTGGCAAAATTCATTTTGTTTTAAAATATTTCCCTGTAGGAGAACCTTGAGGTTCATTGGTAGCATAAAAATAATTTTTTTTAAAAATACCAAAGCCTTTCTTTTTGGAGCAAACGTGCATAGAAAGTGCCAAATGATTTCCTGAGGTGCTTACTTGTGGAAATGTATAGGAAACTGTTTTATTCAATGTCAATGTCTGAAAGACGAAATAAGAGTGTACGTTTTAAAAAATGGGCATACTTATGAAGGCTTCAGTTGATAGCTACAGGAGTTTATTCCAAACAGAGTGTGTTCCAGAATGCCTCTTCCTCAGTGTACAGCTGTGAACAAGTTCTCTCAGCAATACACTTGTCTTCGTCTCACTCGAATGCCTTCAAGTAATAAGCATAATAATAAGGGCGACTTTTAGCCATGGAGAATAACTGTCTTGAAGTCAGGGCTAACACCTGAGATTTAACAAAACTTTAGCAGATGTTATTCCAATGACTTGACGTGGAAAGCTTTGCAGGAAAGTTTACAGGCATGTTCCCCCACGTGAAACAACCATTCTTAGATGGGTCAAACATTTTAAGGAAGATTGGGAAGACAAAAGAAATGAGCCAACGGAAGGAAGATCGCCAACCTGGACCAATCAATAAACTGGCTAAAGGCCAGTAAGTGGTGCAAGAGCTCACAGGTACCATGAATCTGAGAGCTAATGAAGCCACAATTGGATATGGGTGAGCATTTTCAAGTCTCCGTGAAGCTTGCCACTTGATGGATGCCAAACGTATTACAAGATCAGCTACTTCAAAGAGCTATTCTTCCCACCACCCTTTTAAGCAAAAACAAAGCCAACGAAGATGATTTTTATGACCCGCATCATAACTGGGGATGAATCTGGGATTTGCCGGTATCATCCAGGCAGTAAGCTCCCTTCCAAACAGTGGTTGCTGAGAGAATCTCCTGTAGCTGGGTCATTTGTGCCTGAGTTCAGTTCAGAAGGTTCTAGCAATTATCTGTGGTGGGTTCGAAAGAGTAACCTTAGTTTAAAGAGTAAAAGATTGTCTCTGAGGACACAGGATGAACAGGATGAACATGGGGGCAGGGGTTATTATGAATAAGTTATAAGGAAACTGAAACTTTGTTGGTGAAA